AAACTGGAGGATAGTTATCCTTTTTAAAGTTCAACAATGAGTCAGGAGATCGAACCATTAACCTTAAAAGATATCAATAATTTTATTTATAAACGGATATAATTTAGATGTTCACCCAACAATTATAACAGAAAAAAAAAAGTTCATTATTCACCATCTTATCAAGCATCAGTCATGGCCATTTTTCTCCACACTAGTCTTGTATCGTAAAATATTTGATTTATGGAAAAAAACAATTTTTGTAAAGTATAACTGTAAAAACTTAATGCAAAATCTTTGTTAGGTATTAGATAGGATCGAACTTACAACCTCCTGATTGAAGATATTATGTCAATTACTCCTGAACTATGCTCGTTTTGGCACAAAAATAGATATTATATCTAGAAATTTTTGCATTCAAATTTAATTAAAATGAATGTCCAACCTATTTTCATTACCGGCTACAACATTAAATCAAATAAATAACCAACCAACTTTTTTGTCCCTTCCACAACTTGTATGGCTCCTCCATAAATTGCCGTTAAGATTGAGAATTAGACAGTAAAAGAAAGAGAATACAGTGTCACTATATACTATAGGTTACAAAAGTTTAAGATAACCATAAATGTAAGAGTTATCAATAACAACCACATTATAATTAATTAATTGTCATTTCAAACAATTTATCTCAACATGGACGATATAATTAATGTTAGGAAAGCATGCGAAGACAAAATGATTTTATGATTAATTGATCAAACACTTTATTTTTGCAAAGTTGTGAATCACGTGGGTGAAACTTGAAAGAGAGTTTCATAATTATGGAGATGAGAACTAAAATTTGAACTATCAAATACAAATTAGTAGAAGCAATGAAGTGAAAAACCAAAGGAATATCTCCACGCCGAACCATTGTTTCCTCATTCCACCATCACTTTTCCCTTGTGGATTTTCTCCACTTTTTGTAGAATTCCCACTCGCTGCAACAAACACACAACAATTCCACACCATAATAAAAAGGGGTTTTTTTTTTTAATTTTTAAGTAGATAAAAAATATTTGTAAGATTCACTCATTTATTTAGGAGGGAAGTCTTCTTTTTCCTAAAAACCCAAAAAGTAAATTTCAATCTTATTTTAGTTGAATTTTCAAAATGTCTATAAATTTTAAATTTAAAACGTTATTTTAGTAAATGCAACTACTTACTCAAAACTCTCCTTAGTCCACTTGTTTAGCTCAAATACATGCCTCACCTAGGTCAACACATTAATGTACAAGCTAAAAAATCAAGGTATCCACTTTGCTAAATTGAAAAATATCAACGTTGATCCAAAATGGGTTTTTTTTGTTGTTGTTGTAATTAAGTCCAGGGAAAAGATAGAAAATTTAGAAGTTTAAATACCAAAATAAAACGATTTAAAAAATTGATGAACCAAATTAAGGATTTAGAAAAGAGAAAAGAAAGATTAAAGAGACGAAGGAATTTTCATTACCTGCAGCTGCTGAAGGAGTGGTTGCAGCAGTGGTGTTATTTTTAGACCCCAGAAAGTCCTTGGCTTCTTGGGAGTTTGGCGGCAGATGCAGAAGGTCTAATTCACATACAGAAGGTGGTAACAACAAAATTATTATTATTTGAATTTTGTTATGAAAACTAGAAACCAAATGGTTACGAGTTAATTACCGACGCATTCGGCTATGTCGGCAGGGGCATGGCAGGCAGTGGGGAGTCCAAGAGCAAGAGTGAGGTTAACTTTGAGGCCGAGGGTGGGGTCATCACGGTCCTTTATCAACACGCAAAGACATTTCTTACTCTTTTGAAGCACGAGCTTGAGGCCGCCGCAGCAGTCCGGCGTCGGCGCTTTGGCCGCCCCGCCCACGTACGGCAGGCATGTGGCCAGCCCAATCACCTGGTCCGCGCACTCCGCCCTGTCCTGCTCTATATTGGACCTCACACAACCCACCAGAAGCACCACCACCGCCAACGCCAACGCGCACCATTTTGAGCCCATGTTGCTAACTGGGCGAATTGGGAGAGCCGAGCCAAGATCAGTGGGTTTTATGCTCCCATGTGGTGGGCGCCGACGGAATTAAAGGAAAGTGGGTGTGTGGTGGATTATGGCTTAGCACTTATTATCCCCTCCCTCCACACCTCATACGTTGTAGTTACATAATTGGACACTTTTCCCCTCCCTAGCTACACCTTGTCTATATCTACCGGTAAAAATATCAGTATTACGAGAGTATCATATTGTATTTGTTCACAGTATAGTTTTCTCTTTATAGATAATTTTTTAATGTTAATAGACCTCACATCATTTTTAATACGATGTTGACGTTTCTAGCAGTGAATGAAATGAGTATCTATACTCCCGTACCTAGTATAGTATAAGAAATTTTCTCATCTCCACTAGCTTCTTGTCATAAAATATGAATGATATTTATGTGTTTTTTTATGAGTAAGTATTTTGTGAGTAACTATTTACTACTTATCACCATTAAAAAATTCCCAACTAAGAGATAAATGTATAAAGGAAGAGGGAGAAAATAGAATAAATAGATGTCAATCTTTTTAACCGTGGTAAATAAGGATATGTACTTATTAGTCGCTAGTCCAACAATCGACTTAATTAAACTTTTGATGAGTTTAGCAGTGATTTAACATGACTCATTACACCTCTCTTTAAATTTTTGTAGTTTTATTTTTGCCCCAATTAATATTATTCCATAACCATAACTACTCGTTGGATTTTTATATAAATTTTCAGATCGACAAGTGAGTAAATATTGCTAAGTTGAATATAAATCAAGTAGATTAGGCATCCAATTAGTCGAAAAGAAAATTTAACCTATTTTAATGTGAGTATTTTTGGCATGTCGTAATTATTATTATTATTGTTCCATCGTTGTCATGCTAGGCTTGAATGGCACATGGAGGTCCATACTATAGCCCTAAAGAAATTAAAAAACACTACGGCACGTATACAAATATTATGTTTATGTATATAAGGATCGTTTCTTAAAGACAGAGAGATAGAGAGAGAGAGAGGGGTGAGAGATGATGGAGTGGGGAGCCAGCGCTGAGCTGTGCGTGAAGAAACTTGGTTGATTAGGCAGGCAGCACAAATGTACATTTAAGAACCAACTTGGCCACAACCCCACAGAAAAAAGAGAAAAACGAGTCGTCACAACCAGAAAAGGTGGTGTTGCAATGAATATGAAGTTAGCCACCACCATATATTACTGCTGGGGCGGATGATCTATATGTACCAGTGCTTTAAAAAATATTTAATTAATAGTATATATTGTGTTTTATAGGCCCGTTTGATAATGTTTTCGTTTCTAATTTTATCTAGGAAATCTAAACTTTTGACAAACTATTTACGTTGGGTTTGTTATAAGCTAATGCAAACAAAGTCTCAAACTGGCTAGAGAAGAATATGATTCATGGTATATACATTAGCACAATTATCTCTGTTAATATAAGCTATTTTGGGTGAAACTAAAAACAAAGCTATGAGAGGCAGAACTATGACTAAAGTGGACAATATCATATCATTATGGAGATATTTGGGGTACGATGGGTACCATTGTCCTTAACAATTTATGTTTCTTGTTTTTCATTTTTACGAACAATCTTAAAATTGTATGGTTTCTGTTTCCAATTTGTTCCAATATAATTAAAGATTGTGTTTTATCATTCTTGAATATAATATGATTGTTGGGATCATGCAATACATTTTTATTTATTAAAAAAGAGGAAACATAGATAAGAGATAACGTAATGGGTTCTTAATGACTTAGTAGGGGGCTTTCTATTTTGATTCACCAAAGTTCGTATTAGATCAAGTTGGAGTCAATTCTATAATTCTTGTAAAAAGTAGAAAATATGATCTATTATTTCACGTTTCATTATCTTTCATAGAACATTTTGTTTTGTATCCCATTTAATAAACTTAATTGGATAAATTATAAGTTTGATTCATAAATGTTGAGAGTATTGAAATTAAAAAAAATATATCCAAAATAGGTCTTTTATCTTTTAATTTTTGTATCTAATAGGTCTTCGAGTTTTTAATTTTATATCGACATATTCAATTTATTATTCTCTTTTTAAAGTTCAAAAATATATTGTACACCAAATTGAAAGTCGAAGATAATGGATTGATTATATTTAAAGAATATTTATCATAAATATTTTAAAGTTTAAAGTCCTATTGAACATAATATTGAAAATTTAAAAGAAAAAACTTGTAATCTAACCAAATTGAGTATCAAAATATACCAACTAACTAAATATGTGTAAATGTGTTGAAAATTATTTTTATATATACAGTCTTAACATAGTGTTACAATTTTCAGCCATATAAGAAGTTCGTTTTGTTCCTCTGTACGTCTCTGTGATGGATAAATCCCCATGAAAAAGGGTTAATTTTTGTTACCTTCCTTAATTTTGAAAATTCTACCATAATATATTATGGATGAAAATAAGAAAAAACGAACCTCCAAAATTCAAATCCACAAACTCTAATATTTATCCTTGAAGTTGACATAAAAATGTAACTAAAAGAAACCATGGTTATTACTACAACTCATGTGAATTTTAGAAACAACGAGAACAAGGTGTCTGGCCTAAAAAGTGTCCCTTCATAATTATCTATTCAAAATTGCATTGCGCCTGGATAAAGCAGGATCAACAAATCTACATGAACTCGTATTTACTATACGTTATTTCGTAGGTGTACGTCTTAATAGTTGAACTGATTTCAGATTAGTTGTCAATTTATGGTAAAATATTTATGATTTTTCTATACTGAAGCAAAATCAATCTTTTAATAAAGCATATAACAGAAAATTTTACTATATTGAATTTTATTTTCTTTCTTCAAGTTTTGTTTGAAAATAAAATTTCCTCTTTTTGCTGCAAGCAACTTATTTTTTAGATTTTTTGATTAATCCATAATCAGCCACATTCAAAGGAGACGAAAAATAAACTATTGAAACCTAAAATTAACAAAAGTATGTTAAGTACGTAAAAAGTCCATAGTAGAATATTGAAAAAATGCTCTAAAATGGCACTAATAAAATAATGTAGTATTTTATTTGCATACGTGTTTGTGTTTGTGTGTTTCTTTCTTCCATGTTAACTTAGACAGGACGGACGTATTTGTATAAAATAAAAAAAAAACAATTATATGTGTTCTTCTATTACTCAATTTCAAAACAATATTGCATAATTTACTTCATCATTTGAGTGGAAATAAAATATGTTGACCCAAATGACATTCCTCTCCTTTCTCTCAATAATGAATGGAGATAAGTATCATAGAGTAGCATAAATGTGAACAATACTTCGTGCTAGTTTTTTATATGTAGGATAGAGAAGTGTAAAATGAGAGTTTTTTTTTTTTCAATTTAAAAAAAAATGAAGAGCGGATAAATTATTAGTAGTGGTCAAAATATTTTTAGCTAGTAATCAAATTCCCTAAATAACAACACTATCACATCATATTTAAACTTTGTAATCTTTATAAGATTTATAATTCAATTTCTATATACTACCCCGAGCATAACTCACCAATCACCTTTTTGAAGGTGAAGGTTCAACCTCTCCTAACCAATACTAAAAAATTCAATTTTATATATTTTCAAATATGATATTCACACAATGGATCGATCCATTTCAGGTTTAACTTAGAGTGTTTTTTTAGGAATAATACTTTAGTTTAAATACTATTTGAGTTCCTCTACTTTTTGATTTTGGTTCATTTTGTTCACTATATTTTAGAAACATTCATTTTGGTTATTGTAATTTCAAACTTTATTCATTTTAGTCATTGTACTTTCAAATTTGATTGTGTCTCTACACTTTTAAAAAGCGACCAATTTGGTTCCTATTTATAAAACTTTAAATATACAAAATTTATACACAATGGAAATTCTTGGATATAAATTTATGACTATATTTCTAACAAAATTATTGAATGGGAGTATCATGCTAAAATTATGATCAAAATAAATGAGATAAACATGAAAAAGAAGTGATCGAAATGGTCACTTTTTAAAAGTACTGGGACTAAATTAGATAATTTGAAAAATAGACTAAAATGAACGAAAGTTGAAAATTTAGGTACTAAAATAGTTTTAAACCTAATACTTAATTGATCCGACAAGCATGTCTATACTCGTAACTTCCAGCCTATGTACCATACTACTTTTGTCCTCCCAAACTACCGGCAGGTCACTAATGTCCTCGCCAAAGTCATTTTTCTTGGAACTATAGAGAATTTCATTCTCATTTTTCTATCAAAGTGGGTCATACTACAACATTATTATTATTATTATTATTATTATTATTATTATTATTATTATTATTATTATTATTAGATTATACGTGAAAGTGAAACTAAACCTTTTCATTTAAGTACAAGTAAAGAAAATCAATTACTTTTTTTTATGTTTCAATTCTAATTTCAAACAAAAATTTCATAAACATGATATTCAAAATTTTAAACAATTCTCTATGGTTCGGCCTACTAAAATTGAAATATCTTTGTCGGTAAGAATAATTTGTTTTGTTTTGTTTTTTTGTTTTCGGACTCGATAATAATAAATTGATTTTGAAAATAGTAGGGTTCGAAATTTGAACCAATGAAAGCGACAAAACATTGTTTATGAGGTACAAGGGCATTCATGGTAAATAGTTGATTTTCTAACACAACTTATGACGTACCGCATTTTGGGATTTTTTTTTTAACTTATTTTCAAAATATTACTTTTATCAAATTTATTCCACAACTAATTAGAAATTGTTGATGTAAACATTATTTTTTGACGAGTTTAGAAATTATTGGTGCAAATATTATTTTTTGAACAAGTTTAGTAGAAGTAATATTTTAAAAATAAGTTCTAAAAAAAGTCATAACGATCTAATAAAAAACATTTATTGGAGGTTTTTTTTTTCTTTTCTTTTCTTTTTTTTTTTTCCGACAGGAGTAATTAAATGTTAAACCATTAACGGCGTATGCAAAAAAGAAAAAGAAACTGTGAAATTCGTTTGTGTCCCTTAACAATAGGATTTTAAATAATATTATTTTATAAACTAGCTTTTTCAATTTTATTCTACGCATCTTTTCTAGTTTTCTGTTTTCGAGGTTATGTTATTTTTAGTAGGTTTCAAATTTCTTAATGTCATATTTGATCGCTTAGTCAAACTTAAAATAAAAACAAAATAACAAATAGTTTGAAAACTATTTTTTTAGTTTTCAAAATTTGACTTCCATCTAAAAGATGTTTTAAAAAAGTATAGACAAAACAAAGAAATACATAGATGAAATAATGTTTATAACCTTAATTTTCAAAAACAAAAAACAAAAAACCAAATAATACCTAAATAATTTTTTTATTTCTGAAAAAAATATTTTTAATTCAAATGGTGTGAAATAGATATTTGAACATCTAACATGTATGAGATAAATATAAAAATATCTAAGTGTGAGTAAAATTTTGATAATGAGAAAATATGTGTGCATATATATAACAAAAGTAGGAAGGAGGGATTGAATCTCCGACCTCTAACAGTTGAGCTAAACTTGTTGACAAAAAAACAATATATTTGATATGACAAAGATTTCTAGACTTTTTTTTTTCCTGTTTCTCTTTATGCGGTTGACGGTTATCAAAATTCAAGAAAAAAATATATTTAATACATGCAAGCCGTACTAAACAAAAGCATATAAACAGTAGTAAAAAAAGGCCAAAGCGAGCTATACCCTCCCACATTGTACTAAAAAAAACAATAATAAAAAAACAGCAAACATATAAATTAGGGATAATTTACTTTTAATTATATGTATATAAGAAAAGAAAATCCAGTTGAATAACTTGGGCTCAAACCTTTCAGCCTATCTCGTATAGCCGGCCCAGGGCCAGACTCAGGCCCATTCATGTTGGATACTAACTGCAGAAATTGTCGCAACGCTGGACGACAAGTCGGCCCAGTGAGCTGAGAACAAAGGTGCCCGACGGCCGACGGGGAAAACCTTGTTCTGTAATCTGTCTAAAGCCATTTCCCGGAGCACTGGGTTTGCCGCTTTATGTGCTGCAGCTCGTCAATGTTTCGATTCTGAAGAAGATAGCGGTTCAGGTACTTTCATCTCTCCATCGCCTGGTTTCTCTTTGGTTCTTGAGATGACTTGGGCGTGGAAAAGAAAATGGACTTTAATCGTCAAATTCTGCACCCCCTTCTCCCTAAGCAAGCACTAAATAAACAACAAAGTTGTATTTTGCATGTTCACTTTTTATTTTATTTTATTTTATTTTATCAAGCTATGTAATTCCCATGGGAGAAAGAAAGCTTGAAGTAATTAACTTTCCTAATTTCGTTTAATTATATAATTTTATAAATTCATGAATCACGACATTTTTTTTTCTTTAGCTTACTGAATGGATATAATATTTGTGGGTTTTCTTAACCAATGGGTTGGAAATATCGTGTTTTAGAGAATGCATCAATGTGATTATAATGTTATGTGTGCTATGTCGACAGAAACGGTTGTTCCCTGTTAATCAAAGCACAATCGAGTTTTCTTGCAGTGGTTGTTTATATTCCTCCAATAAAACTGAAGATTCAAAAGAACCTTTTCCTTCATAGCACCACAATCTTGATTAGGCCTAATGCCACCTTAAATGTCTGGATAAACCTCCCCAAGCTTCACGATGAAGAGGCATCTCCAAAAAAAATGTGATAAAAAAAATGCTCTCTTGGGTCTTAAATTCTGAAGGTGATACAAATTACAAAGTTCTATCCTGAGAAAAAGCTGAAGCTGCAAGAATCTTGCTGAAATATTCATTAGGATGTTCTTCCTCACTTAATGCTCTCTTGCGTCCAAAATTCTGAAGGTGAACTTATGCAAGTAGTCTGCTGCATAGAATTTGGTTGTGGAAATGCATTTTACTGACCCATTGTCAAATGAGCAGAACATACTTGCAGTAAAAATTTATGGATAACTAAACTCAGCTATTGATATTGATTAAGTTACTAGGCATCAATGTCTGATTTTGCTATACCTTGATACCCCTTTCTGTTAACCAAATTTCATTTTGTAAACTATTATAAAAAATTATTTGAGTTCAAACTATGGTGGTCGCCTACTTAAGATCTAATATTTTACGAGTTACTTTGGCAACCATGTAGTAGGGTTTGGTGGTTGTCGTGAGATTAGTAAAGATACGCTAAAACTGGCTTGAAAACTCATGGATATATAAAAAATAAAAAAAAATAAAAAATAAAAACTATCATAAAATATTATTATACACAGGGCTATACAAGTTTCTTGTTCCGTTTAATATATTATTCATTAATACTTTACAGAGAGTGTAAAATGACAGTTTCAAGTTTATATGTACTCATTATTTCTTATATATGCCATTTTCTTATGTTGTTAAGGTGATTGTAAAACAATGAGTGCAGAGGTCGAGAAAACATCTCATATTGAACCTGGAAATATGAAAATGTCTGGAGCAACTATTTCATCTCCTGCACCAATGGGAAGCCAAAAGGTTTCCATGTTTGCAGCAAAGACTGGATTTGTTATACCAAAAAACAAACTTTCAGGGTCTTTGGTTCCTATCTTTCGAGTGAACAAAAAATCGGGAGGGAATGAATCAGTTAATGGAGAAAATGACAAACAGGCACAAAGAAAAACAAAGTGGGGTCCTGATTTAACACAGGATACTGCAGTCAGAAAGGGGAGGCTCATAGCTTATCAGGTATTTGTGGAGCTTTCTCTTTCTCTTTCCCACCCTTACACTTTTTCGTGTTTCAATGCCATTTGTTCAAGTTACAGCTCACAATCACTAGAAAATGTGCTCCTTCATCTTATTTATTTTGTGGAGCTTTTGAAGTGCCACACTTCACTATCCAATGTAGGCGTTAATTTGTTTTAGGTGCTCTCTGGGATAAATTCCTAATCATATCTCAATCCTAAGCCTTCTCTCTTCTAACCATCACTGTAACTTCTGATATTTGGTATTATGATTTGCATTGTTAATATCATTTATGCCAGTTACTCCTTTACCAGTAACTTTGTTTCAAGCATGCCAATAAATATGGCTGGAACAGAAACACTACGGATGGAAAAAGGAAAAGAAATAAGATTTCAAAACTTCCACCCTGAACAGATTTTTCTTTCTTTGAATTGAAATATTATTCTTTTGAAACCATCTTTCACCCATTTTCATATAATAGTTGAATATTCTCGATTTGATACTATTTAATTTCCCTTTTCTTATCTGGTTCTAAAATGTCAGTGTCTTCTGTGTGACTGTTTTGCATGGAAGATTCCCATTCCAGGTGCTACTTAGTGACATAACTGCCTCTATGGTTAATACATATTTTGAGCAGACTCGATTGGAACAAATCACTGAACTCCTTAAGTCTGGAACTTTGGAGGTTCCAGAAACACAAGATTCAGCATTAGGAGCTGAGAATGTAGAGGATAAATCCCCTGGATCCCAAGCAAGTGATAAGGTAAATTTCAGAGCTTATATTATTTCCACAGACTGTTTTTTATTTCTTTGGATACGGAGCTGCCATTTTAAGAAAATAATAATAATAATAATAATAATAATAATAATGAAGTTGTATAACTGTCATTATTTTTGTATGATTTTGATGTATGCCTCCTTCAGAATATACAGGTGCAGAACACTGAACTTTTGGAACTTGAAAAACGTGAAGTTATTGGTATGCTTAGTTTCTATTTTGTCCTCAAATTGAGATTGAATCCTATCTATAGAATTGTCCTTGATGTTTCAGGTGAAATACTGAAACTGAATCCAAGTTATAAGGCCCCTCCTGACTATAGGCCCTTGTTGAAAGAGGACAGGTTTCCTCTCCCGGTAAGATTGGTCTTGGATAACGTTTCTTCTGTCCAACCTTTTCCGACATTTGGTAATGCTGTTGAACCTAAAAACATATTAACCTTTAATTTTATTCATTCTGCCCTTTAAGGATGACTACGTATTTTGTGTCTTGATCATATCTTTTACTTGTTGCGTATGGGATGAGGCTTGGAAGTATATCTAACTTCTTTAAAGGAAAAACTAAAAAGAATATTTTCAAATGAAAAATTACAAGAAAGTAGTTAGAAGGATATATATATATATATATATWTTTTTTTTGAGTTCAGGTTGGTGAGTGTATCAAATTATAGCATTGTTATTCTTGTTTTCACAATTCAATCATGGTCTTTTAATTTGCCCCTATCACATGAGGATCATTCACTTGATTTATAAATTAAAATCATGCTAGGAAATTGTCCTTAGCTTAATGATATATACATAGAGATGTATATTTATCAAAATTCAGTCCAAAATTTATGGAACTATTTGTAGATGCAATTCTAAAATTGTGTGTTTCAACATTTGTTTTCCTTTTCTGAATCATAATTTTTAATTTTTATTGAAAAAGTTGGTGAAGTAATAACCTTGATGAACGTAATGAACTGTTTTATGAAAAGAAATGAATTCAAAAGTAATTTGAATCAACTATAAAATAAAATTAAGTTAAACTGATCATTAAACTTTCTATGAATATCTAAGATCCTTAAAATAATTTTAGATATTTGGAAAGCGTGCTGGAACTAATTTGAATATACTACTAGATTTTATTATATCATTTTTTGGGGAAAAAACATGATAAATCATTAACCAAAAGCACTTGTAGTTGGAGATGCTATTGGTCTGCTTAGAAAGGTTTCGAAGCCAAAATTTGATCTTAAAGTTGAATCAGAAAAGAAAGAGTAATGCTTGCTCTCCATGTGTGCTTAAATTGTACTCCATATTGCCTATGAGGCAAGGGATAAAAGGCTGGACGAGATCTCACAATCATCTTTCCTAACTTAATAGTTTAATGTGCTCTAGTTTGCTGGAGATTTTTGCTCGGTCACTTGTTGAGTTCCCTCCGTTTGTAAGCCTTTTTAGACCAATTTCAGCTATTATTTCCATAACCATGTGGAATTTACGTTCAGGTTAAAGAATATCCTGGTTATAACTTTATTGGCTTAATATATGGCCCCAGTGGTGAAAATCAAAAGCGATTAGAAAAGGTAAGCAAATCATTTTAGACCATAAGATGTTCTACTGAAGATTATCTCCATTTTCCTCAACTTTTAATACATGTTTTCATTCGCCTAACGTATCAGGAGACTGGAGTCAAAATGCGAATTTGTGGTATTAAAGCAGAGACAGGTGAAAAGGTAAATCCCCTTGACCCATGAAAGTCGTAATATGGTCCATATATCAGTTATACACGTTCTGGTGTGTCATCTTGTTCATATCTTTTATTCTTATTGCATTGTAAACTAGACGACTATATTTTAGAAAATGGGGAAAATAATTGGTCACCAAGATGGAGAAAACTTCTAGCAGTGGCAATATAGTGTCATCCCTTTCTATTCCCCTGCAAGTGGAACGCCACCTTAAAAATTACAGAAAATAAGTAGTATTTTTTTATATATTGATGATCAAGTGTCCAGGCCAAATTTATACACAACTAATCTCATAAGACAACCACTTAACCCTACAACCCTACAACATTTTATTGTCAAGAAGTAGGTGGTTACTATGAGTTTAAATCCATTTCCCAAAGTCTCTTTTTACTTTTTCGCCGGTCTCAAAGACCAATAGGTTAACCTATGGTGGTTATTTTGTCTATAAGTTAGAATCTGTCCTCTGATAATCTCTCTGAAGTCTGAAGGCACCTCAGGGATCTTTAATTTTGCTGAGATTTAAAACGTGAGGGAGATGTAACCTATAGTTTAATTTGTCCCCCTCTTTTGCAGGACGAAATTAAACCAACTGATGGACATGAAACTCAGAATGCTTATGAAGAGCTGTATGTTTACATGTCAGCTGATACATTTGATAAAATCGATGCTGCAATTTCTGTTATAGAACTCCTAATCACTTCAATATCGGTTAGTCAATTTCTTCAAGATAATGAACTAATCTCTTTCATCTAATTTGAGATAATTTCTGCTCATTATTGATAATTTCTCGACTTCTTCTCACAGGGTAATCTGACCACTGGTTCCACATTTTCTGACTTGGTTTCTACGGAGGTAAGCTCTTCCAGCCAAGCCGAGGGCACTACAATCTCAAATATTGGTCAGACTCCGGTGCCAAACCAGGGAGTTATGCAACAAGTACAAGTTTATGCGCCAACTTCTGTCCAAGGGCAGTTTCATTATCCTAGTACGTGGTTCCCAGCAGGCCCTTCTCACAATTTGACGCCTGCTCCTGGATTTATTTCCCCACAAAATCCTCCATCAGTTAGGAACAATCCAATCCATTTGTCAACACCAACCTCAAACATTTCTAATGTGCCATCATCATTTGCGCGTCCACCTACTCAAATTCCTTTCAACCCAGCTTTCCATGGCCCTCCTGTTCATCCTCCCAGACAACAGTTACCTGTACAAGACTTGCAGCAACCTTTCATGACTCAAACCAGTCATGTTGGCCAGTCCAGAGTTCATGGTTTGACGATTCAACGGCCTCCATTGGTTCAATCTAATGTTTCAAATCCTAACTTCACTGGTAGCGGTCCATTACCTTCAGGACTACTCCCGAATATGCCAGGATCAGCAGTTCCCAGTAGCATTCCACCAGCATCACTGCCTGATCGCCCATTGGCACCTATCATGGTTTCTACTGGTTTTTCTGGACCCACAGTTGGCGGTTCAGCGTCTGTGGGTCCAAATAACATGGGACAGACGGCTCTATCACTTGCCCCACCCTTGGGACCTCATACAGCTCTGCCGCACGGTGTTAATTCTTCTGGCGCAGCACCTGCAAATATGGATGTATATTCATCTTTTCCTTCTGGACCATCCAACCCCCAAGCAACGGGCGTTCATACAAACCGCCCTATTGCAGCTCCAGTGCCGTCACCTCAGATGGGGCATCGCCCACCATTTTCAGTGCCTTCAGCACATAACCCTGCTGGCAACTTCATTGCTGGATCTGCTTCAAACCTTCCAACACCACCTACAAATACAAGTAATTTTACATTCCAACCACGTGGTCCACAAAATCCACCTACTCAAACAATTCTCAATTTAAACATTCAGAACCCTTCAACCGTACCTACATTGCAACACCCTGCATCTGGGGCACCCTCTTACCATCCAGCGGGCCCAAATTTTCCCAGAGTTGGTAATCAACCATTTCCTGGACCCCAAGCTGGCAGCCAGATAGGTAATAATCAAATTCAAGAGATTGCAGCTTCACATCCTATTGGTATGCAAGCCTCACCTAGACTTCCTGCTTTCCTGGATCCAGGGCCTCGAACACCACTACATCAGAGAAACTTCAGTCCAGCCATGCAAATGCCAAATTTGCCAGGAAATTTTCCCCACAGACCAGGGAATCCCATGCAACTTGAACAAGGTTTCCCCATACGAGCTACTCGACCTGAAGTCCGCTTTGCTCCTCCACAGTTTGGTGGCAATCTGACGTTTTGTTCTGGTAAGCCACCTCCAAGTTCGGGAGGGCAGCAAATTTATGATCCATTCTCCCCCACATCTGTGTCAGGCGCACAACAGCAGGGGAGGAATCCTGCGAAATGACAACTGACGAACTGCACCAGGTTTTGTTAAGCCAGGCTGCCCTGAGTTTATTGATTGAAATTTGTCACGGATTCTCTGTATTCAAGTTTTACTAAAAAGAATGTGAAAAATTACCCTCGCTTCTAACGGTGAACGATAGTTTACAACTTCTATGGTGCACTGGGTTAGATTTCACTTATTTCCATAATATCTTTAAAGTTTCTAGCTTCAATGATTACATTACATGATATAGCCCTTGTGGTCTTTTCCTATGCATCTTTGTGTTGAATGCCACAGTTCTGGAAGCCGCTCCGAGTCTTAAGAGAGACATTTCATACTAGGAGTGCAAGATTAAACTGACAAACTAAATCGATTTGGTTGGGTGATAGATTGGTTCAGTTTGATAAAAAAAAAAAAAACGAACTCCATGAATGTGTCTATATATTTATTTGTATTTTTCTAAAACCCTTCTTTCATTTTTCCTTATCCTAAGCCCTTCGGTCACCGGTTCGTAGACTTCTATCTTTGCAGTTGCTCTTTTTTGCCCAGCCTGCCGCTACTTGACCTCACGCTCAGAAATCACCAAACCGAGCCGACAGAATCGTTGGTTTACAGTTTAGTTCGATGCAGTTTACATTCTTTTAGTGGATTTATTTCGGGTTTTGCCTATGGTTTTAAATATCTGTCGACACATTGACATTTCTATCGACATATCTATGTTTTTATGAGTTCAACATCGACCTGAGGAGTAAATCGACATTTCCATCATATTAGAATAAAATCTACAAAATAAAAAAAAATCAACAAAATGTCATAATATATACCTATATTAATATTAATTATTTTTTAACTAATTTAGAAATAGGAAAATGTTTATTTGTTAAATTAAATATTTTTTATGATTTTTTTTAATTTTTTTAATTTTTACAGAAATATCAATCGACATCGACATTTTATTGATATTTCCATCGATATTTTTATAAAAATTGAGACCTCGACATTTTGATCGACATTGACATTTAAAATCTGGGCTCAAACTGAGACAATAACTTTTTTAGCGAGACCATCTGTTTAGTGAACTTTAATCCACTATTCTCAAATCTTCTTAACATCCGGAAGTATCTTCTCTTCTTAACATCCAAAACTATCTTTTCTATATTCTGGCAATCTCATCCGACAATTTTCTTATGAGACATTGGAGGGCCAAAACAATGAATTATTTTAATCAAGTTCAAACACGAAAAAAATCTATGCAACCAAATCTTTTCTCGAATTTAAAACCGTTGGATGCTTAAGAAATTGAGGCACTGAATCTTGAAAAAATACGAAGCAATACAAAAGAGGGAGAGAGGCATGCAGGAAACCGTGGTTCTAAATATCCACCGACACGTCGACATTTCCATCGACATATCCATGTTTCACTGGGTTCGACATTGATACATAATACGATGGATAAATCAACATTTCCATCATAGTACAAGAAAACCAACAAAATATGAAAAGTATCAACAAAATGTCACTAATATATGTATAATATTAATATTTATACATAATATTAATATTAGTTATATTTAACTAATTTAAAAATAAGAAAGTGTTTATTTGTTAATTTAAATATTTTTATTATTTTTTTAATTTTTTTACAGAATTATCCATCGATATCGACATTTTATCTATATTCCGTGTTAATAATATTTCCATGAAATTGATAGCTCGACATTTCCATCGACATTGACATTTAAAGCCTTGTTCACAACCACCGTTAAATTTGTCAAAGAGAGAGAAAAGAGGGAAAAAGTTGGTAGGAATCTCACATTGAAATTTAACAGCTAATTACTTTTTCCAAAAAAAAAAAAAACCAGAAAACCCCCTCTTGGAAACTGAAATATTTAACTAAATTATGACCACGAAAAATGAGATAAAAAAAAATCTTGGCAATAGCTAAATATTAAAAAGAGAGAGAGAGAGAGAGAGAGAGAGAAAAGACTGTTTAAGCACTCCCCGTAAAAGAACCTGATGCTTTTTCAGAATTGCAAAATCGTTGAAAATTTTAAAAAATATTTTTAAATGATTAAAAACATCTTCATTTTTCACCATTTCAAAAATCAGCCCCGCTCTAACATAAGCTGTAATCTTGATCCGGAAAAGGCCACCTCCAATAGCAATTTTTTTWAAAAAAAATTAATCGTTTTTTCTTCAATGCCCTAAAATCAGATATCTGCTGCACAAGACGGTTGAAGACTAATTATGTACCCGTCGTGAAAGTTGAGAATAAGATCTCTAATCACATCATCCATACAATTTGTTCATATTTTGACACCTCGAACATCGTTTTGACCAAATGCAGTTCCACATGCAGGACACTTTCGATTCCGGCGTTCAATTCTCTGCTGAATGCATGAACTGCAGAATAGGTGATAACACTTCACAATCACAACCTGCCAAGATCATCAGCAAATATATCATTACATCATCATAACATACCGGAAAAAACATCCCCAACAAATCAATATTTGTATGGATCTATGTGATATCTTACCTCCTTTGGATGATCATTACAAATACTGCACTTCAGAATAGTTTTACAGGAATTAATTTCATCCTGCAATTTCTTTACGGCAGCCTCTCCAGTTTCAGAAGTCAACTTGGCAACTTTACTATTCAGTTCCTTTAACTCTTCCTCGAGCTTCTCCCTGGCACTTCTGTTGACAATTGAACTTTGAATCAGAAGCAGATGAAGTTTCAATCATTGCAGCCATATAATATACAGATGTACTTGAATAGACGTGATATTATACCTCCTACTCTTTCTTACTCACAATGTCCTCCAAAGAAGAAACAAATAGAAAATCGCAAGTACCACAAATATGCAGCTGCTGGTACTTGCCAGTGTAAATACTAGTTTTCTAACATGTCTGGAGCTTAACATATTATGAAGACCGCGACTACATTTGTGACCACAGTAGTGCAGAAAGAATGAAGATAATGTGTGACTTCCTTTCACATATAATACAGATAAAAATAATAACTGATGTTATTTTAACATAAACTAAAACTAGTTAATTTAAACCGACTGAAAATGCACCTAAGACAAACCTTTCACTCTCCAGTTCTGCTTCAATATCGGTAATCTGCTGCTGCGTTTGCTCATAATCCTTCTCAGAAGAAGAAACTGCGGACTTGAGCCACTTCAGTTCCTTCTCAGCATCAGCTAGCTCCCACTTCGCAATTTCAAGGTTAATGGTAAGATGTCTTTCTTCTTGTGTAGATCTAATGACCTCTGTCAGGCTGGCCTTCATCTGCAGAATAAAGGATCCTTATACTGATGATTGATAGAGAGGTCATTGCCATCATTGACCAAGGAAAAGAAAATCTAACCTGATCTTCACTAAGTGCAATCTTAGTTCTAAGAGATTCGAGAGATGCATTAATTTGTTGAAGCTGTTTTTCCAAGGCCTGCTTTTCAGAATGTAAAAGGCTCTGAACCTGCTTTGATTTTACGCTTTCTGAAACTAACTGCATAAATCAATGATCAATTAAAATTTACCGTCAAGTAACTTTAAAGACACATGCAGTAAATCATTCAAAATCTGAGAAATAACTAGTGCAAGTAAATAAAAACACAGACCTTAATATTAAGATCATCCCTCTCCGTCACCTGCTGTAATAAATGCTGATTCTGTGTCTGCATATCTTCATATGCTTGACCAATTGTCTACAAGAAATTAATTCTACAAATCAACCATGGGGGTGGGGGGAAGTTTTGGAGAGAATTATATAAAATTAGCTGGGGGGAGCTGAGAAATATCAATAAGGAGAGTGCAACAAACACAAGATAAGGCACCTCTATTTCTGATATATAAGCCTCTGCTTCCCCATCTTTAATTTTAATGGCCTCAGTAAGCTCAAGAATATCCCTGCATGTAAGAATTATAAACAAAAACAAGCTGGAATGTCCCCAAAAAGGATCATAAAAAAATGTGGGAGATCAAACAAACCATGCTCAGTTACCAAAATAATTGCAACAATGATAATTTTTTGGCAACTGATTCATTCAAGTCCTAAATGTCCCAAAAGAAGGAAAAAAGGCAAGTACCAAACATCATTACTTCATGAGAATTTCAAGTGCTCAAGAGATCACATTCTGAAAGAACAATCATTAGTTTTCTAGAGATACAATAGAAACGGGTGTACCACTAACATACCCCATACTGATCAAAGTTTGGCTTTACTGTGCAGCTTGCCCAAATTAACTCAAAACAGTTGAAAGCTTAGCCTATTAAGATATAGGACATTCTGACCAACCCCCTAACCCTTATTCGTTATTGAAATCTAGATATATGCTCAAGTGTTCTTCATTCATCCAATCTTACATCAACATCCTCCAATAAACCCCCAAATTAGAAAAAGGAAAACTATTTCTTGCTCAATGAGTGAGGAAAAAAGCCATTTGCACAATACCCTGTTCAATAACCAGTGAGAAGTTTATGTCTAAGTAGATTAAATAAGATTAGATAATCTGGAGAACAAACCTCTCTGAGGAATCAAGGTTAGATCGTAACTCTGCTATTTCAGTTTCTGCAGCGGAAAGCCGTTGTTGACAAGCAGCTTCAGCTTCATTCGCAGCTTTCACTCTCAATTCAAGGCTATGCTCATCCAAAGCACTTTTTAAAACATCAGCCTGAGAGCAAGCTCGGCGTTCTGATTCTTTGATTTCCACCAAGTTTCTATAATAAAATTTAAACCACAACGTGTTTGGTTTAAGAAGGCAGCATGAGCGTTAGCAATTGGAACAATAGCACAGTACACAGTAGACTGTAGTCACACAAACATATCAATCTTTACCACAATGTCCAACAAGTTTAATGCATACTTTAATGAAGAGAAGCCCAACAAAGTAATTGATCAAGATACAGCATGATTTCCATAAATATTAGTGAACAGGCATTTTTTTCAAAATTCTTCTTGGGAGAACCTCCA